AAATCCATTCGAACGAAGAGCAAAATTTAAACGAAAAGGCTCAAAGTTGACCGAACAAAAAGCTAATTTTGCTGGACGGGCACGAAAATTTGACTCAAAGAGGGCATTAAAAAAGACCGAGAAGGGCCAAGCTACATTTGAAAAAAACAGGAAAAACACTTAACTTAGCAGAAAAAGACCTCAAATGTGTGTGCGTGTGTGGTGTGTGTATGTGTGGTGTGTATGTGTGGTGTGTGTGTGTGTGTGTGTGTGTGTGTGTGCGTGCGTGTGTATGTGTGTGTGCGCGCAGGGACTGAGGAGGGGAGGAAGACGACGCATCACTTTGATGCTAAGAAGCACCGCAAAGTACGCAGTACAACGCAACCGGCTGACCCACAAAAGCTGATGTTTTAGCCATGAATTAAATCGTCTTCAAAAAGCCGCTATCCCCTCCGCATCCATTTCCAACAAAAGGAGGAGGTATTAAGAAGCAGCGCAATTGGTGGTAAATGCCAATAGCAACCACTCGTTGGTCGAGCCGTCATGTTCGAAGGTTGCTTAGAAGCAAGCTGATGGCGGAGGATTTGAATCCTCGGCACATGCCAGTACCAATTTACCATCGAAACAAATGAATGCATAGTAAAAAGAACGCCCGTCCCACTGGAAGAGAGTCAAACCCTTGAGCCTCAGCAGCAGAGAAACGCTACTTGCCTCTGTACTATACCCGCCAGGTAGAACAGTCGTCCTGTCTTATTAGAAGACAAGTAGTGCCCCACAATTTACACCCACACAACCCTCCAAAAACCCCCGGAAAAGCCCATCTCTGTCCGGAACTTCTTTTTACCTCACGTGGTCTCGTGGCAGGCACGGAACCGATTTGCGAAACCTGTTTTTTGACATTACTATAATTCGACCAGTTCCACTGGGTTGTGGAGTGAATTGCGGTGGTTTTGGAGTATCCTTTTTGGGATGAAGGGCAAGCGGGTGGGGTCTTGGAGCTGAGGGCGGGGAAGGGGAGGAGAGAGATCTGGGTATAA